TGCCTCTCAACCTTGAGATTATCCTTAATATTCTTGTGGGTTATAGCTCCTGCTCATCACACATCTCTGCACCTTCAGTGAGTGAAGCAGAGATTTTACAGATACTACCAATAGCTTAATGTCTTGAGCTTTGTTTCTTTATAATCTGTTGAATAAAATTAATGCTTTGGAAACAGTATACTAATAGCTGTGTTTTGATGCAGTCTGTGTCCAGACAACTGACTGTAGTTTCATAAATTATCAAAAGTGCTAAAAATCAAACTTTTTCCCCCTCATGCTTGTTAAATCTAAAGCCCATAACAGCCATGTGAAACAAGCATGATCTGTGTTCTGTTTAAATTAGTATCTACTGCTTCAGCAAATTTAAGTGAGTTTGTTCATGGTCATGCAGTTGTAACTGTATTTTGAACATTGCATTTGATAGCAAGACAGTGATTCCTCCTGAGCCATTTAAAGCATGCTGTGAGAGCCATCTAGCAAAACTATTTGTATATTGTTACTTCTTTTAGGATGTTGGTGGAGGCTGGTTAGAAGGAAAAAACAGCCAGGGTGAGAGAGGACTTGTTCCAACAGATTACGTTGAGGTAAGTGACTACTACGCTGCTCTGCGCTAAGAAAGCAGAACTACTGAAAAGGCCATCCTCTGGTTTGCTGATCAGACTGTATTGCTCAAACATAAAACTTCCAGTGTTAAAGCTTGAAATATATAATCTTACAGCAACTGTGGCTGGCTTTGGAGACCAGTGCAAGCATGCCATCCAAAGCTACTGTACTTCTTACTGGTTTCCCAAGAAATGCAACAGGAGGTTGTCTGTAGTAAATACTGGCGATGTGCAGAACACGAGCTATTTTGAGCCTGCTTCTGGTTTTGGGGGTCTCATGATCCAATCATTGTTTTGTTTTCCTCTCTGAAGATACAGATACGGAATTGAAATGAGTAATGCAAGTTTACACTGGAGTTGCTGTGGCAGATTTGCCACATGCTCATAAATCTCTGGAATGGAGCCCCATTTCTGGGGCTCAGGATATGGGATCCCAAATCCAGGGACTACTCAGCAATTTTTTTCCTGAGGGCCTTTGCTGTCTCTTCAGTATATATTGATCTGCTCTTTAGGACTGGTGGCATGGGATGGGGATGGAATGGGGGTCTCAATGCAAAGGCTGAAATTCAATTCACTGTTGGAGGGCCCAGTGTCTGTATGTCTGCAGGTTGCCAGTTAGGTTAAGACTCTGGCTGTAATTCCTGCAGCCTCATCTTAAGGCATGTTTCTCCTTTCCTTCACCAGTGCTGTGTTTGTTTATTTAAAAAAAACAAAAGGAGAGTGGTGGGTGAGGAGAGGATGCTTGTTCATGTAACCTTGGCTTTTTGTTTTCAGTTGGATAGCTTATGGTCTAGTAGCTTTTGGCTCTCCAGACTTGCTGTTCCAAACTGATCCTCTGAGTATTGAGTTCCCAGTCTCCAAGCAGTAATGTTAACAACCTTGTTAATCCCCAATGAATTTATAGTTAGGTGTCCACTGCCACAACAGTCTTAGGTGTTATATTGTGATAATGCAAACCAGTTCCATCTGTTGTGGGAGTAAATCCTCTAGATTCTCACATCAACTTCTTGTAAAAGGTACTATTCAATTTGAATTCAAAAAGGGTATGTGCAACTGTCTTAATATCTAGTGACATGAATGTTAGTATGATTATATATGATAAACAGCATAATTTGATTAATGGAAGCATGAAAAATCTTTTGCAACTTTTTCCATTTCAGATTATAACCGAAGGTGCAAAAGATGGAATTAGCTGTGGTAACTCATTAGCTGACCAAGCCTTTTTTGATTCCCTTTCTTCAAATACAGCTCAGACCAACTCTGCTGCAAAAAGCAGTAATCAGGTATGTCTCCAGGTTTTCTAGGCACAGTGGGCATGACAAGTTCAGTTGACATAACTACTTGTACTCTTTGGTTGTGCTGTACCATATTTATAAACCCTCATAGAAGTACTAATTAAAGTAACTGTGTTTCCATTCGGGAACATTTTTGTTTAATATTAATGACATGTCTCTGCTACTGTCCCTGCTGGAAAAATTAGTATTCTAACATTTTAAAAAATAGAGCATTTTTATTCTTTCCAGTCTGCAGTCATGTAAATCTGGGACTACCTGTGTCTCAGTTCTGTATAAATCCACTATAGCAAATTTACTTTATTTTCAAGTCACTTGTGTTAGTATGCTAACCTTTTAAGTAACTATAACTTTTTTTAAATGTCTCCTACAATTGGGTGGTCCATGCATCATGAGCCAGAGTGAATGGATATTTATTTTTTTCAGAATTTGAGTAAGAGTTGTTTTTTTGATTAAAGAAGATGAAGTAAGTTCGTGCATTGTCCCTAGACAGTTGGAGAAGAGGCTGACTTTGGTTTTGCTGCACGAATGTGAATGTTTTTCTCCTATTCCTCCCCACCCCCCCTTTTATTCATTGCTTTTTGCCCAGTGTGTCAGTTCATTAAGCAGCAAGTATTTAGTTTCAGGTTAGATATCTGTAGACATGCATTATCTTAAACACAAGCTGTTTATTATGGTCTGCAGATTGCTGCATGTCCCACATGTAGGAACAGTTAAAACATTTCAAAGTCCACAGGTCAACAGAAGGAACAAAATCTGCTTTTCCTAACAGCAGCATGCAGAGGTCTCGCATGTTGGAAAGTAAATGCTTTCTTCTTCATAGCAGCTGGGGATACACACCTGTTTGTGGATCAGTTAAATATCAGTCATTAATTTTCTTAATTGTAGTGTGCTACACAGGACTTCGACGTGAAGTGAGATCTCTTGAAAACTGTACATGGGGTGGTTGTATGACTGTGAATGTAAACAGTTCATTGACTGTATAGTGTTTGATTTGTGCTTCCTTGTATTCAGCCGGACAATGCCAGGATTGTGATTCCGTGATCACACATGTAGTGAGAACTCCAGACCTCACTGTGACTGGTTCACTGTTTATCACTAATTATTCTTTTTAATTGATGCCAGGTCAATATTTAGGTTAAACACAGAATTCTTGAAATGCCTCACTAGTTTCTCGTGTCAGACTGAGCCAAAAACATTGATTATAGGTTTATTTTCCCTCAGTAAAACTTACAGTAATTTTGAAGGTGAAGTGGGAACCTCATTTCTTCTGCTCTGTCTGTTAGCCTTGCCCCAGTTTTTTTACTCCTATAGGGTTGCTAGCCAAACTTTATTTCTGGATAAGCTTGAAATATTTGTAGCAGCTACTGCTGTCAAATCCAAATACTGTTTCTCTTCTGAAGGAAGAGAAACATATAACTTAATTTCACCTGGGAAGAATTGTGTACTAACAAAATGAATATACAATATTTTGAATGGTGGTAGAAGCATCTGTGAGAGATTGATCTGTGCTTAACACAAGGTACTTGTGCCTGGAGAAGGAAAAAAAAAAAACCCAGCCCTTGCCTATATACGATGAAAGGTTAGAATAAAGATACCTATTATATCCTAAATAATAGAGAATTACTATGGTAATCTAGTTTTGGAAGTTGCATTTCTAGAGCAGGGAAAAGTTTAAAAATACAGTCACTTTACAATACAGTTTACACAGTATCAGCAGTATACTGGACCTGTAATCTGTACAAATTGCAGTTTCTCCTTAAATTTTGGAAAGGAGTAACTTTAGGCGAACATCTTATTTCACTGCCTTGTTCTTGTAAGTGTCCTATTCCTCTCCATTATCCTTCAAATGCTGTGTGAGACAGTTGGAAGAACCAGTGTACCATAGTGTATTACAGTAAAACTATAGTGCTAACATTAATAGAAGAGAGAGGGAGGAGAAAAGTGTGCACCTGGATGCAGCCAAGGCCATGCAAAATGCAGAGGAAGCAAACTTCCTCAGGCTGGTGTGTTTGGATCTTTGGTTCCTGCTATGAAAAAACAGGAAAACCATACTGTTGTATGGTCAGGATTTCATGTCATAAGTTATTTCCATTTTCTCGATTTGTTTTTAACTGAGTTCAGTAACTGCAGTTTAGTTCTATGTACTTTCTAGAAAAACAGCAGATCTTGATTTGAAGACTGGTTTCTTCAGCTTCTGACAGACATCTGGTAGTTTGTTCCAGTGGCTTATCACTAATAGGAATTCAATTTATATACTAAGCAGTCTCACTTCCACTTTCAGCTGTTAAGCCCTTCTCCTGGATCAGAGAGCTCTCTAGTGCATGGTGTTTTCTTTTTGCAAAAATTCTATGGCTAATTGTCCTCTTGATTAAGAAATTCTATCTGTCTGGTGTAAGATACTTTTCCTGCCCTTAAGAAAACCTTTTTTTTTTTCCCTGCAGTTTCTTTGATCTTGTGACTCGTCTGTAAAATGTGTGCATTGCTCATGTGTACATCACATGATGTCAAACAAATTTGACATTGCTGTTCTGGTGTATAAAAGCTTGATATAGTGAAAGATTGCATTGATTCCTGTAGTATTGCATCATGATGTTATACTGAGTTGCTCATTCCCTGCATACTGGCTTCTCTTTTAAAGCCACTGCTTATAAGAATATGATCTTCTACTTTACGGGTATGACCCTTCTTCCTAGATGTATTACTTTGCATTTGGTTATGATAACATTTACATTGTTCAACATGAGTTCGCTCAGGCACTTTGGATTGAGCTCGCAAGCAACTGACTTACTCTTTTCAAGTGCCTTAATGAGTGACTGGGTCAATATACAAAGCACTTCATCTTAAATGAAACTTGTGTGTTCAGGCTATGGAGAGCAAAGAAAAACAACGAATTAGGTGTCAATGTAAAGAGAATCAATGCTGGACGTGGCATAGTAGAGGGAACTAAAATGTTCATAGATGTAGTCTGGTGGACTGAATAAGAAATGGCAGCATTCCTGAATGCTGACATTTTATGCTATTTATTGTATTTCTTAGTAACATGGTGGGGTACAAGTTCATTACAAGAAGACTTTAGAAAAGCACTTCTAAATAAATGGGATGTTTTGGGATTTTTCTTGCTACTACTTTATTGAAGAAATTACCTTCTGTAAGTACTAAATCACTTTAACATACACGTAATTACACAGCACCCCCACCCCCCAGTTTCAATAAGTCAAAACGCGTTTTAATTCTTAAAATTCCTTTCAGTCTTCTAACAGTAAACAAAAACCAGGTTGTTGCATAGTCTTTTAGTACCAAGCCTTATTAAAAATAATAGATCTGGTTGTGTTGAAATGTATGAGTATGGGGTATTTTTGTTTTCTTAAGAGATCAGTTAAACCACCGTGGTGTAGTTTAACCCTGGCTGGCAGCTGAGGCCTGTCCAGCTGCTCACTCATTCCCCGCCACTGGAATGGAGGAGACAATCAGAAGGGTAACAGTGTGGGAACTTGTGGGTTGGGATAAAGACAGTTTAATAGGTAAAGCAAAAGCTGTGCTTGCAAGCGAAGCAAAATAAGGAATTAATTCACTACTTCCCATTGACAGGCTGGTGTTTAACTGTCCCCAAAAAAGCAGAATTCCATCATGCTTAGCAATTACTTGGGAAGACAAATGCCATGACTCTGAACATCACCCATTCCTCCTCCTTCCTCATAGTGCTTATTGCTGAGAATGATGTATGAGCACTTCCTCATAGTGCTTATTGCTGAGAATGATGTTATATGGTATGGAATATCCCTTTGGTAAGTTGGGGTCAGCTGTCCCAGCTGTGTCCCCTCCCAGCCTACTCGGTGGAGGAGCAAAGTGAGAAGCAGAGAAGGCCTTGACGTTGTGCAAGCACTACTCAGCAATAACTAAACCACCTCAGTGTTATCAACGCTGTTTTGGTCACAAATCCAAAGCATAGCCCTGTACTAGCTACTTTGAAGAAAATGAACTCTATCTCAGCCAGTACAACCAGTTACGTTTGAATGCAAACTTCATGTCTATAGTTCTATTTTCTAAGTTCTGAAGTGGTTAGGTATCTCAAATGGCAATGTGCTTCTGACAGGGCTTAAAATTATTTTTTAGCTTTATACAGTATGTTTTTGCTGGCATATCTGCATATGCCCCGATAAGTCTGAGGGGATGACTGCTTTTCTTAGAGTAGCAATGCTGCATGTAATAGAGAACCCTAAGTCATTACAGTTTTCCCAGATCAGTTTCTATGCATGCATATTTCTCTCTCTCTCAAAAATAGAACTTACTTCCTCCCTCTGCCTACACCCATCCCTTTTTGCTTTCCAGGCAGACAAGAGGCTTTTGGTTTCCTACTCTGGAATCCATAACTTTTTGGGCTTAAGAAAACATCATCAGCTCAAACATTGCTCTGCTCCCTGTCTGTCCTTTTCCAAGAAGGTTTTTTGTTGTTCAGTAAATCTCCTGAAAAGTAATAACTAAGCAATAACTAAAAGCAGCTGCTCTTACTTCTTTTTCTTCACGGAGAAAGGTACAGTGACTACAACAACACTTTGGTGTTGTACCTTACCTGGGTTTGCCACAGATGTAATGTGACAGAAAAGGGGCACAGAGATGCTTCCTAAGGAGGAGAGAAGAATTCCACATGACCTTCGGCAGTTCACTCTTCTCCAACTCATTCCTTCCATCAGTAGTGTCCTGGCAATAGCTGCCTTGGTAAAGCTTGCAGCTGCTCTTTTAAAGAGCTACCAGTAGACGACATTGGGGAGATGAAAGCAATCAGGGGAAGCAATGAAGCTAATTGTACACAAACAAGGGAGAAAAAATGACTCAAGGTGACTATTTTTACACTCAGAAGAAAACCAGATAGGAGAATTTAATGTTACATTTGCCCATAACATTTGTGGTTTAATGTCTAAAAAGCCTTTAAAAATTATTCACCAAAAGTACAATTTAAGTAACCCTTAGCTGACAAAGATGGAGGGTGT